GGTGAAGATGATTCAGGAGAGGCTTCGTACAGCGCAGTCGAGGCAAAAGAGTTATGCTGACAGGAAGGTTCGATATGTGTCCTACATGATTGGTGAGAAGGTTCTATTAAAGGTTTCGCCCATGAAGGGTGTTATGAGATTTGGGAAGAAAGGGAAATTGAGTCCGCAGTTTATTGGGCCTTTTGAGGTGCTTCGGAGGATTGGGGAGGTGGCTTATGAGCTCGCTTTGCCACCCAGCTTGTCGAGTGTGCATCTGGTATTTCATGTTTCTATGCTTCGGAAGTATATTGGGGTTCCGTCTTATGTTCTGGATTTTAGCACGGTTCAGTGGGATGATGATTTGACCTATGATGTGGATCCAGTAGCTATTTTGGGTAGTCAGGTTCGAAAGTTGAGGTCAAAGGATATAGTTTCAGTGAAAGTGCAGTGGAGAGGTCGGCCCGTGGAGGAGGCTACCTGGGAGACCGAACGGGAGATGCGGAGCAGATATCCTCACCTGTTTGAGGCTTCAGGTATGTTTCTTGATTCGTTCGCGGACGAACATTTGTTTAAGTTGGGGAGGATGTGACGACCTGGCCAGTCGTCTCATGAGTTACTGCTCCGTTTTCCCCATTTCTGCTTCTTTATGCTTTGTTATCCGTGTTATGTGGTATCGGATTGGTCGGATCGAATCCGGAATGATTTTGGCAAGGTTTGAGACACTTAGTCTCTTTTAAGGAAGTTTAAGTTGGAAAAGTCAACTGGATGTTGACTTATGTGTTAGAGGGCTCGATGTGAGTTCCGATGGTTCGGTTAGCTTCGATAGGTGATTTGTGACTTAGGAGCGTGATCAGAATTAATTTTGGAGGTTCGTAGTAGATTTAGGCTCGAATTGGCGAAGTTGATATTTTGGCAATTTCTGGTTGGTAGGTGAGATTTTGATATGGTCGGAATGGAATTCTGAGAGTTGTAATAGTTCTATTGTATCATTTAGGATGTGGGTGCAAAATTTCAGGTCATTCGGACGTGGTTTGGTTGGGTTTTTGATCAAAAGCGAAATTCAGAAGATTTTAGAAAGTTAGGCTTCCAATGTATTTTTGTTGATTTGATGTTTTTGAGGTGTTTTGAAGATTGGAACAAGTTTGGATAAGGTATTGAGATATGTTTGTGCCTTTGGTTGAGATCCCGGGGGCCTCGGGTGAGTTTCGGAGGGCTGAACGGATCATTTTAAGTTAAGAAAAATTGTAGAAAATGGTTTCAACTGTTGCAGATATTTTGGTCTTCGCGTTCGCGAGTGGGCCTCCGCATTCGCGAAGGGTCAGGAAGGGAGGCATCAGGTTTGGCCTTCACGTTCACGAAGGGGAGTTCCGCATTCGCGAAGGGCCGTATTAGTAAGCATCGCGTTCGCGAGAGGCTTGGTCGCGTTCGCGTAGGTTGGTGAAGCTGAGGCATCGCGTTCGTGATGGTGGGGTCGCGTTCGCGAAGAAGAATTTTGGTCAACGGAATTTTTGTGCTTCGCGAACGCGAGGCTTTGACCGCGTTCGCGAAGAAGGAAATTTAGGCCTGGACATAATGTTTAAGTACTCGTCTTGTCCGCGATTTTGGGTTTATTTCCTCCATTGTTGGTCATTTTTGGAGCTTTTTGAAGGGGATTGAAGAGGGATTCAAGGGGAATCACTTAGAGTAGGGGTGTGCATTCGAATCGGTTTATCAATAAATCGAATCGATTATTTGTTATCGGTTTATCGATATCGGTTTATTGATTTATCGATTTCGATTTCAAAATTTTCCTTATCGAGTTATCGATTCGATTTTGATTTTGTCCTCTTCGGTTATCGGTTTATCGATAAACCGATAACCGAAGAGGACAAAATCAAAATCGAATCGATAACTCGATAAGGAAAATTTTGAAATCGAAATCGATAAATCAATAAACCGATATCGATAAACCGATAAGATATACTAAAAAGACAAATATACCCTTATTCTATAATACTACCCTTTTCCTTCACTTAAGTCCCTAACTGGCTAACCCTATTATTTCCTCCCTTTTTCAGTGCCGCTTCTCTTCAGTCTTCAGTCTTCAACGTTTTCTTTCAAAGTACAAACCTAGCTCTGTTCTATTGCCACTCGCCACTGTCAAACCGAGATCTGTGCTGTCAGAAAGTTAGTCGCCGTTGATTATCGCTGTTTCCGGTACTCCTAATTTCTTTCTTCAACTTTTTCTTTTCTCTTTTATTTGAAGGAATGCTTTCTATATAAAACTTTCTATTTCGTTATTATTGGTAGTAAAGAGTCTAATCTGTTTCGTTATCTTTCGTTATCTATTTCGTTATTATCTTTTGTTATTTGTTTTGTTATCTTTCTGTCGGAAAATCTTTCTGTGTAAATCTTTGCATTGTGAATGCCGTTTACCAACTTATTTTTTAATAAATATGAATTTCGTATGTTAGTGACCAACTTGGAATCAACTGCAATTTTGACACTTAAACCTACCCAGTGATCTGTTCTGTGCATGATTGAAATGTGTCCGGGAAAGCCACTGTCACTAGGGTACAATATGGAGTTTCACGCATAATACATTCATGACTTACAAAGAATTATACATTTCCTCCAATATGATTTTTCAGTAGATCTATGCAGATATATGAATTTCGTATGTGTAAATGAACTGAAGCTATTATTTCCTAGTAATTTGATAAGGAACTTATTTAAATTGATTTCTTTCCGGCCATAATTTAGGCCAAGAGCGAGGAGTGCTGACTTCGTCTTGCTTTGCACCTTTGCTTCATTCAAATCATTTAAGACTGTAAGTTACATTCTTCATTCACTTCATATGGCTGAAAATGATAAAATTGATCAAGTGATTGATGAAAGTAGAGGTTCTGAGTCTACTGCTGCAACTACTCACTTGACAGTTACAAAACAAAGGAAAAAACGATCTCGGGCATGGGAGTTTTTTGAAGAAAAAGTTGATGCTAAAGAAATAATAAATATGCATGTAGATTCTGTGGACAAGAATATTTTGAGATAAAAGGCAAAAGTACGACACAAAGGAATAGTCATATCAGTAAATGTCCAAGGAATCCTTATAAAGTTGAAAAAGGTCAAAAACTATTACCATATCAAACAGTACCAGGGGTAATAAAGGTGATCTTGTTCCATGGAAATTTGATCAAGAAGAGTGTAGGATGACTTTGTGTCGTATGATGATTGTTGATGAACTTCCATTTAGTTTTGTTGTGAAGGAAGGCTTTAGAAACATTATGAAAGTGGCACAACCTTGTTTTCATATTCCTTCCCATACTACTGTTACACGGGATTGTTTTGCTCTTTTTAATGTGGAAAAAAATAAATTAATGAAGTTTCTTAAAGGAACAAGTCAAAGAGTAAGTCTTACCACTGATACATGGACTTCTATTCAAAAAATTAATTATATATGCATCACAGGCCATTGGATTGATAGTGAATGGATTATGCATAAAAGAATTATTAACTTTTCTCCAATTACTAGTCATAAAGGTGAAGATATGGCAAGGTGTATTATTGATTATTTGCGTGAGTGGGGTTTGCAAAAGATTTTCACTTTCACAGTTGACAATGCTAGTTCAAATGATGTGACCGTGGAGAAGTTGTCTGACAAATTAGATGATTGGGGAACCAATTCCATGAATGGTCAACACCTTCACATGAGATGCATGGCTCATATTGTAAATCTTATTATGAAAGATGGTTTAAAAGAGTCAGGTATTTCTATTGCTCATGTTAGATGTGCAGTCAGATACATTAGACAATCTCCTGCTAGGTTGAGGAAGTTTCAGGAATGTTGTGAAAGTGAAAATATTGTCAAGAAGTCTTTATGCTTAGATGTTCCTACAAGGTGGAATTCCACCTACTTGATGTTGAGCAGGGCTATTGAATATGAGCGTGCAATTAAAGAATATTCTGATCCTGATACCGGCTTGTCACATTATCTTATGTTTGATGCTATTTCAGATAGAAAGCCTGTAGGTTTGCTTACAAGAACTGATTGGGATGATGTAAAGAGAATTGCACAATTTCTTGAAATATTTTATAATCTCACTTTGAAGGTGTCCGGATCACTTTATGTAACATCGAATTCCCATTTTCTTGAAATTGGTCAAGTTGCTGTTTACTTAAATCGATTAATAACAACTGAAGATGTACTTTTAAGTGAGGTGGCATCAAGTATGTGGAAAAAATTTGAGAAGTATTAGGGTGAACCAACAAAAATTAACAAAATGATTTTCATTGCTTGTGTTTTGGATCCTCGCTACAAGTTTACTACTGTTAGTTTTGTACTTAAGAAGATGTTTGGAGATGAAGGGACAATTATTGAAAAAGAGGTTCATACTTATATGAGTTCATTGTTTAATGAGTATGTCTCTAAATCGGTTTCAAAAGATACTGGTGGTAAAGTTTCTACCTCTTTGCCAAGCTCTTCATTCAGCACAATGGAAACTTCAACTCCTGGTTTAGGTGAACTTTTAGATGAAATAAGGAAACATAAAGTTGTAAGTGGAGGTGTAGATTCTAAAACAGAATTGGAAAAGTATCTTGNGTATGTCTCTAAATCGGTTTCAAAAGATACTGGTGGTAAAGTTTCTACCTCTTTGCCAAGCTCTTCATTCAGCACAATGGAAACTTCAACTCCTGGTTTAGGTGAACTTTTAGATGAAATAAGGAAACATAAAGTTGTAAGTGGAGGTGTAGATTCTAAAATAGAATTGGAAAAGTATCTTGCAGAAGATCCTGAAAATGAAAAACCGGACATTGATATCTTGGCTTGGTGGAAGGTGAACTCACCTAGATTTCCTATTCTTACTAAGATGGCTCGAGATGTGCTTGCTATTCCTATTTCAAGTATGCCATATGAAAGTACATTTAGTACCGGAGGGCGTATTCTTGACCAATTTAGGAGTTCATTAACTCTTAAATTGGTTGAAACTCTAGTGTGCCTTCAAGATTGGCTTCAGAGTGGATCGCTTCCTGTAAATGTTAAGGAAGATTTAGATTTTCTCGAGACACTCGAGGAAGGTATGTATACTTTAATTAATTTTATTGTATTGCTTAAGATAGTTAAATAATATATTAATTGCTTGACTTGTTAATATATATTCTTATTAGATTTTACTAATCTTGGCAAAGAAACTTCCACCGACGATGTTTGCTAGAGTTTGTTAGCTGCTATGTAAGTTCTCCATTTTAAACAATATACTTGTAAAAGAATGTGATGTATTACAAGGTTCTTAATATTTTTATCTTTAATAACTTGAGGGTTGATTCTTGATTTGCTGCCCATTATAGCTATAACATGGACGTTGAAGTTAGGCTCGTGAAGTTGAACTTGATTTGCTGCCCATTATAGCTATAACATGGACGTTGAAGTTAGGCTCGTGAAGTTGAACTTGATTTGCTGCCCATCAACTGGTGATTCTGATGAGAAAAAGACAAATAAGAAGCACAAAAGAAATGTGTTACTTGCGCTCAACTAAAGACATTTCATGGAATTATTTTCCATGGGACTTATTTTGCAAATAGTTCATGATCACAGTAATTTATAGCTGACCGTGACTTCAAGATTGCAGGAGATATTGATCTAATTGCAACATAGTTTTCTACTTCTTTAATGACACATGTTCTTGTTGTTAATTTTCTTTTGGTAATCATGTAGTTGTGCTTGTTGGAACTTCGTTTTCTTTTGCTGTTTTATTCTTTGATAAAACTTTCTGGCATTTGTAGTCTGGAGATCTACTTGCTTTGCCATTGAATTCAGAGTCTGCAGACATCACGAGTTCAATGAGTATGCTTTTGATTAGCTTACAGTTAAAGAAAACTCAAAAACGCCTCAAAGGGACAATTGTCTTGGGAACCAGCCTTTGGCTTATTGGTGTAATCGATAACCGAATCGATAAGCCCCAAAAATCGATAAATCGAAATCGAAAAAATTAAAACCTTATTGAAACGATATTGATAAGTATATGCACAAATCGATAATCGATAAGTAATTATCGATAAGGGTCAAAATTGAATCGATAAATCGAATGCACACCCCTAACTTGGAGGTAAGATTCTTGAACTTAAAACTCGATTCTAATGTGAATTCCACCTAAATAATCATGGAAATTAAGCCAAAATCGAAGAACTAGGGCTTGTAATTGGAGACCTAAAATTTGGGATTTGAAGGGTCATTTGTGGATAGATTTTGATGTTTTTGATATGTTTGAACTCGTAGGGAGATAAGGAATCCATTGAAGTGAAAATTATTGAATTCCGAGACATGGGCCCGGGGATCGGGTTTTGGTAATTTCGGGATTTAGGTTGTAAATTGATTATTTTTGTTTGGGCTTCATTCCCTTAGCCTACTTTGACGTTCTCATTCTGATTTTGGATAGATTCGACGTGAGCGGAGGCCGATTCGAGGGGCATAGGCATCACGAGCTGGAGATTTGACCGGTTCGAGGTGAGTAATGATTGTAAATGATGTTCTGAGGGTTTGAAACCCCAGATTGCACATCGTAGTGCTATATTGAGCTGAGTTCACACGCTTGATGACGAGCGTGAGGTCGTGCATTATTGGGGATTGTGACTTGGTCCGTCCCGACTGATGATTTTACCACGTATTGGACTGAAATCTATTTGTTATCATCATTATTTGCGCTAAATGCCATATTTGGGCCTTGTGCCAACTATTTGAACCCTTCGGGGATTTTTACTGGTATTTCCTCACTGTTTTAACTTTATACTTGAACTCAGTCATGTTATATTTCACTGTTTTCGTATTCAGCCATGTTTACTCTGTTTTAAACACTTACATGATCTTTTAAATGATATTTTTGGGCTGAAAAACATGTTTTACTACTGTCCGAGTGGCTTGTGAGGATTTTGACTGAGTAAGGCCAAGGGCCTATATTGTGAGAAAACATTTGATACTGATTATGAGGCCGAGGGCCTGAGATATGTACGCTACGAGGTGGCTTGATTGATATGAGGTCGAGGGCCTAGTGATGATGCCACGAGGTGGCTTGATTTTGCGCTTGGGCCGTAAGGGGCCCCTCCAGGAGTCTGTACACCCCTAGTGAGCGCAGGTACCATATGTGAGATTGAGTTCGAGGGCCGGTACTGTTCTGAGATATTGCCCGAGGGGCAGATTTGTTGATACTGTGCCCGAGGGGCGAGCCTTTATGTGTTTATTTTTCATATTTGTCTGCCAATTACTTGCTTAATTATTGAAAAAGGCTTTTCATGAAATTACATTTGAGTTAAAGGATTTTACCTACCTTTCACTGATTTACTGATTCTAAATGGTTTTACTGCTTCTTTATAGAATGATTTATGCCTTACGTGATTTCTTGCTTTCAGTCTTTATCTACATTTGTTACTCATTGAGTTGGAGTACTCACTTTACTCCCTGCACTCCTGTGCACAGATTCAAGCGTTGCGGATCCTGATAGTGCGAGTTGAAAGCACCTGGTACATATCGGAGTCCACGAGGTAGCTGCTTGACGTCCGCAGTCCCGTGTTTCTCCTCATTTATCATTTATATCTCTTTTTAGACATTTGTACTAGCTTATAGACTTAGCAGACTTGTATTATAACTTATAGATGCTCATGACTAGTGACACTCCTGTATCGGGCTATGTTGGGTTGTTCTTCCGCGTATTTATATTATCATTTGTTATTTCGGATTTATTTTACCATGTTTAGACCGTTTCTTAAATGCTTAACTGTTAATAATTGGAAAATGGGAAGTATCGACTGGCCTTGTCTTCACAAGAGGCACCATCAGACCGGGTCCCGGTTAGAGTCGTGACACAAAATTCGACCTTGCTTGAGTCTACAAGCCAAAACTGAGCCCGCCCAAGTTGGCGAGACAAAAATTCGACCTCGCTCGAATTAACAAGTCAAAAAGTGACCTCGCTCAAACTGGCAAGACAAAATTCGACCCCGCTCGGGTTAACAAAGTCAAGTTCAAATTAGCAGGTCGAATTCGATCCCACTCAAATCAACTACCAGAAGTTAGGGACTCATGGCGAGAAAATCCAAGAAATTTTCGAAAAGGAAAAGAGAAGGGAAAGCCAAAAACATACAAATGAAGACGAGTCGACTATTTCATTCAAAAAAAGATAAGTATCTTACAAAGGGCCAAAAATGAGGGCCCCACCCAACCAACAAGTACAAAAAAACTAAACTAAGTACAAAAGGAAAAAATAAATGCACAAAGGTTTCACTCAGCATCATCACTATCCATGCCACTACCTCCTTTCACGCTCGGTCTGGCCGCTTCGTCTCCATCATTGCTCCCTCCAATATCATCATCATTGGAAGCAAGCTCATCCTCGACCTCAGCATCTCCACCAGCCTCCGACGTCGCAGGGTCATAACCGCATGCAAGACGAGCCTCGCGTGCCTTAACTCGAGCATCTTCAAAAATGGCCTCAGAAATGCTCCTCATTGCCTATAAACCCTTGTATATATCTCGTTGGGCCTCAGCATGGACCCATATCTCGTACAAATGGCGGGGGACAGCAGTAGAGGTAGATTTTT